GTCCAGAACCTAAAGTTGGTTATCAACAATTTTACCACCTAAGTTTCTTCCCATAATGCTTGATTCTTATTTTCCAATCATATTCACCTTAAAATATTTAATATTGCTTCATTATATAGCAATAGGCATAATCATAATGCTAATATATAATATAATAAAATAAGCACAATCACGTCACGACCAAGAGCATGAACAACCATATATCCTACCATTTAAATCTTTCACATGCTTCCAATTATGATTACCCAAATAGTCATCATTACCTATTAATTACTCATCCAAAAATTTGTTCCAAAATCATCGAATTTGCAAGGCATATCAAAGTAAAAATTGTCGTTTACCCTTTTAAGAACCCTAAACTCCAACTATAATAAATCATTCTTTGTGTATACCAATAATATACATAATATGACAACTTAATATATTTATCAAATTCCACATATGTACGCACATAGAGGTTGTGAAAACATATCTGACGCAATCACCGTTTTACTCGCCTCAACCCTTCTTCCTCCTGCAGAATATTAACTCTCCAATTGTTATATAAAACTAACTATACATGGTAAATGTTACCCACTAATAATTTATTTTTATTTCCTTTAATCTCTAACTAAACAAATTATTAAAACTACCCCACTAGTTTCATAATTATAATTATGAATAGTCCAAAACACCCATTTAAAATCTATCAGAAACATATTTATGAAATAAAAAGCTCTAGTACTCAAAACGACCAAAGGAGTCATCACAGAATCGATAGAAAATGATACCATAATAAACAAAACATGAAAGCAAACATCGAAACATGAAAAAAATAAGACTTGGAATGTTCTAAAAGGGCCTTTTAACAAAGATTTGGGGGAAAATTCAAGAAGGGACTTTTCACGTAGATTAGTGTTACGGAGATCAAGTAAAAGGTTTTCAGAAAATTATATTTTGTAGTCCTTATTGGTTGGTGCTCCGGGACCGAAAGACGAAGGCGAAAAACTTCCTACTCCTCTGAAAATTGAGACACTGTTTGAGATAAACTGAATTAAGTTTCTTATTCTAAATCCTCAATCAAATGATTTTATCATTTTTCTTTCCTTTCTATTTCCTCTACTATTTATTCTATTCCATAATTGAATGAAGGCAAATCATCATTTAATTTAAAATTTCATCACCATCAATGAGTAAAAAATGTGTCTTTCATGTACATTTAAATTTCATTAGTGATCTTCATTGATTATGGTGTGTTTCAAATAAAATGGTAAATTGTCTTTATTCAATTTCAAAATAGAAGAAAGAGTAGAGAAAATAAATTTCGAAAAGCGAAAAAAATGACAAAAGCATTTTATTGAGGTTTTAAAATGAAAAACATGCCTAAGTCTCTCCCAGTCTATGTTGACACTTCCATTGGAGTAGGAGCTACATTGACGTCATCTTCTGATGTCGGAGCACCGACCAATAAGGATCACAAGATATAAATTGTTGAAAAACTTATACTTGATCTCCGCAACACTAATCTTTGTGAAAACACTTCTCTAGAACATTCAAAGGTTTATTCTTCTTTAGAGACTTACCCTTATGTTTCGTTTACTTTCATATCATTTAATTATTTGTATTGATTCTTTGTGGTAGAAGTGTACAAAACCGAACAAAAAACTGAACCAAACCGCACACCGAGTCAAATCGAGAAAAACAACCTAACCAGTTGTTGCTTTGACTTTGTTATGTGTTGGAAAAGAAATCTTACTATATTTGGGTTGGTTTGGTTTTAACTAAAAAAATCCAATCTGAGTCTAAATCAACCATACTTTTTTTTATATAATTATAAAATTTTATTTTATACATAAAAATATTTTCTTTCATATAACTTTTAAATATTTCTTATACTTTTTCATAGTTTCTGTTTTTTTAAATATATTATTTCAAGTTTGAAACTAAGAATTTTGAATGCCTCCATAAAGATTATACTCCACAGATATTTGTAATTTTAATAAAACTTAAATCATAATCAAATTATACTAATGCAAATAGAATATCAATTTAATCTTAAAAATGACAATAATATTGAATCTTTGATTTTACATTGGTTTAGACAATTAATATAATAATCAATTATAATTTCCCTGGATAATATTTAGTCATGTAACTAATACTTATTATACTTATTTTAGCATAATTTAGTACTTTTAAATTATGATTATTTTCATTACAACTATTGATTTACATTATTTGTTTTACGCAATTTACTTATTATTGTATATTTTTTTTAATATTTTAGATTCCTTAAAATCATTGTTTGTGTTATATTATTAAGAAACACCTTAGATAGTTGTATTTTTGTAGCACTGAAGAAATACTTGAAGTACAACTAAATTCTATGTTTGTATGAATACTTTATTGGAAAACCCCGAAAACCCAAAAAACTTCGAGGTTGGGAAAAACTGTGTTTTATTGGTTTGGTTTAAAAAATAGATTTGAAAATATAACACAAATTGTTTTGTTTGATATTGGAAAAGCCCGAACAAACTCCACCATATACACCCCTACTTCATGGATTTATTCTATAAAATTTCAATTTTTGAATATTGTTAAGTTAGGTAAAATTGATGTTTTTGATAACTATTTAACGAAAACAATTTCAGTGTTCTACTTGATAAAACCGGCCACTATTTTAAACTCTAGCATCTCCGTTCCCTGGGAAATCATAACTATAATTTCTTTATATTGAGCAATTGTTCAATATGATGTCTTTTTTCACTGTAACAATACAACTTACCTAATTAGCTACATTTAGCAAAATGAATAGGAATATAACATTCTCATGTATCTGTGAGAAAGACCATACTTAAGCTATATTTATATTTTATATGCCTTTGAACGATATTGATCATGTTTCAAACTTAAATCAAGGTAGAATCAAACATTGATTCATACTGAACTAACAATCTATGGATTGTCTCTGTGCATATCAAAGATTTTTGTTATAATAAGTGCATAAGACCATCCCAAGAATCAAACTTATAATATCTAAACAACTTATCATTGAATGTACTTTATGTTTTGCATCTACTCTGGCATAGACCCACATTTTGTATCAACATAAATATAAGTAGGTACCCATGTCCCAACATAAATGTCATTTGGATTATGTCTTGCTATCCCATTCTCATTGTCTGGTCGTATAAGATCAACAAAATTTATATACAAATAACAAAAAAGAGGAAAGTATGTGAGTATCAACTTAATTAACTTTAGGTTAGTCTTTGTAATGACTCTTTACTTTGATAAATGAAAATCCTTTATTTACCAAAAAAATGAATAACATTTTTGTCAAACACATTTAATGAGGTAGTTACATAATCATAGAGATGTCTTGATGTCCTAAATTAATGTTGAAGTTGATGAAGACACCGGAGTTGTAAGATTGTGATGACTTGAGATATTGTTTCACGGAGTTTGACGCAATGTGTGTTAGAAAGAAGAGAAGTAGTAATTGCTTGCCATTCTTTTAGGCGCCTCTCCAAAAACGTTAATTCTTTTTGAATTATTTCTAAACAAAAAAGTCAAAAGTGTAAAAAACAAAAACCAAAACTAATACATTGCAATACTAGTAATATCAAAAATGAAAAGATGAATTGAGAAGCTTTCTTGTAGGCAAAGCAAACAACAACAACATTCATTCAATTGGATTCCCTGACAAATCTTATTAACGAGAAATTCCTCACATTTCCTGTTATTAATAGTAGTGTTGAGTCATGAATTGCACGTTTCATCATTATCTAATTCGAGAAATAAAAGCTACCTAGTATGAAACATTCAGTTGGTTTATGAATATTGAATAGTATTAAATTTAATATGCATTTACCTATAAGATTACTTCTTTTTTAAAAATAACTCACAAATTTTAGTGTAAATTAACAACTTATTAAAACATATAAGAATACATGAATGAATTACAAGAGACAAATATTACAAAAACATTGAGAAAAGTATTACGTTCCTTTCAATATCATTTAATAGGAATTTTGATTTAAGTTGTCTTATAACGACTAGAAGGTCCCTTTTTAGTGAGTCAATTTTGTAGGTTTCTTTCATATGTGCCACATGTTGGTATCATCACTGTGACATATATTGACACTTATTCAACAGATGTCCTAAATATAATTGAATACCCTTATGCGTATTCTTTTATTGTAATACTAGTATACTGAATTAACCCATTAAGAAATCCAGCTCTTCAATAATTATATGTCAAAAAGAACACAAATCAAAATCATAAACAAGAAAAAATAATGAAATAAAAATGACAATATTAACTCATATATCAACCCAACTAAAAGACACTCTCCGTAAAATATTTAGAATTTCCTTAACAGGATACGCCAACAAAGTAATAAATTAATATTTTAGGTATATCATCTTTTCAGTACTACCCCCTTATTTGATTTTAACAATGTATTAGCAGATTGAGTTGCATATTCACACATAAGATTGAAATATAAAAGAAAATATTGATATTATAAATTACAAGTCAGTCCACTTTAACATGGAAACAAGAATTGAGTTTCACAAAGATATGAAAAAAAAAAACTATCTTCTTTGATCCCTTTGGTCACTTCATTCACAAACTCAATGAAAGATTAAAATTTTTACAATATCCACAGTATATAAACGTCATTCAAAAGCTTTAAATACCTACGCAAAATAGATATTTGTGCAAACCCGAAAGGGTAAAAGAAAATCAAATGCAAATAAAAACAATTTACCAACATATACCTGATAATTGCAAGAACAATTGGAGAAGAAGCTTGGAAAGTTATTGTAAAAATAAAGCATTGAGAGAGTTCATTTAGACGAATGGTGTAACATTAGAGCGTTTTTGCTACGTGCACATTAGTGTACAATAAATGTAGTTATCAAGTGTGTTTGAACTTCATAGTATGAGAAAAAAGAATTAGAGGAATTGATTACTTTGTCATAGCCCCCCTTGTAGTTAGATTGTAAAAACATCATTGTCAACTTCCGATTGATTTGTAATTTAGAGGAATAAAATCTACAATTGTAATTGAAAACTTTTCTAAATATCTGTAGGCACGAAGTGATAGAATCAAATGAGGTACCAACATAAGGGGGTCCAATCCTCGAAAATTTTCCTTTTCAGGAAAAGGAAAATAATGGTAATAAGATATTTGACTTTGTTTTCCTTTTTTTTCCAGGAGAGCGAAAATTTTGAGGAATTAGCTCCCTTATTATTCTAGATTTTATTTATCTCTTCAGATGCACATGATTGCTAAGGTATCACTCCATGCTGCGAATCCAGTATTCTTATATCTGTTCAAACATGCATTTCTTCAGGGATTATTGATTACCCTTGCCTTCACTACACCATTAAGATCTACGAATATAAGGAAACATTTCAACCTTTTACGACAAAATATTAAGGAAACATCTTAATTACATATCAATTAGGGTTACTAAGGAATTGAAATTGTTAAAATTAAAAATTTCTTGTACAGTCCTAGTTTTTTTTCATTTCATCTTGTAGTCTTAGGATGATATTTATGAGAAATTCAACAAATGTTGATGAAAGTATAACTGATTTTAATAAGAAAAAACAACACAATGCAAAGTGAAAAAAGCAAAAACAATTAGCAAAAAGAAACAACAAAATAGTAGAAAGACTCAAAAAGCAAAGTGGAAATTGAGAAGTCATAACTAAGAAAAGCCATAAAACAGAGGAAAAGACAATGTTCAGCACATATACAAAATCTCATAAAGAGGTGCATAGAACATTGTGTTAACCTCATAATCGAAGGTGTTAATAATGACAAATGCATATAATGACTAGTCACTTGATACAGGAATGGAACGAGATACATCGACAAATCGCAAACTCTCAATCAACCTGATTGTAGCAATTAAGTGAATCATGAGCAAATCTAGTGAAGAAATGAAAGTGAATATTTGATCAATCAGATAAAATTTACATTTTGCAAGAATTAAAGGAAGACACAAAAGGAATATATTTCATAGCGTGCACAAATTAAAGGAAGACACAATGAAATCTCTCAAGTAAAACAAGAAGGACAAGATAATTAAATCAAGGTAAAATCAAGGAAGAAATCTCGGGCCAATAGTCAAGATCACAATTTGAATAAGGTACTTAATCAAGATACTATCAAGGATTTCAAAAAAATTTAAACGCAGGTTACCAACAACTATCTATAAAATGAAAAAGCGAGTTAAAACACTACACAATACAAGTTGATGTAATTAGTTAAACACCACTTCATTCACAAAATGTTAAGCTAAAATAAACCTCCATTCTTGAGAATTGAGATCAAAACAAGAGACAAGATCTAAAACTAACAAACGATGTTAAATCTAAACACCTTTATTGAGTAAACTACAATAGGTATACATAATTGCTTAAAAAATTAAACCCAACACTTCACATCAAAAGAGGAAGGAATATGATTGTTACCAGGTTACTTAATCCGAGACCTGACGAATTCTAACTCCACTCCGACTCAAAATAGTCGCAAATCAAATAAAATTCAATGAAGAAAATAAGAATTCCCAAAAACATGGCGCGACATTTTTTTTCTCGGCTCAAAAAACTCCTGCCCTGAATAGTAAGGGTGAGGGGGTTTATATAGAACAAACTTTAGGTCGAAATGAAGATGGAAAACAATGTGGGACTCTTGAAAATATCAAATTCTTAATTGGGTCTTGGGTCTCTTGATGTGAAATGGATTTAAAGAAATTCGGCCAAAATTTTGGGTTAAAGGTTATCTGATGGCCCAAATATGGACTAAATAAAATTCCTGGAGAGAATTTCAAAGGGAAATAAGATGGATTTTAAAGTCAACTAATTACTCAAGCTTCTTAAATTTAACAACATCAAAATAATTGTTTCAAAAGAAAAGATCTTATTAAATTGTCAGTATAAATAAAATAAGTTGCATACTTAATTAAACCTCTGTTTTTTGGTAAATCAATTTACTAACTATTCCTTCAAATTGAAAAATTATATCAATTTATATATTTTAAATAAAAGACTTATAATCCATATGAAAAAAGTAGTAAAAAGTGTTTGGAAGGTAATCTTGATAGTATTTTTAATTTTAAAAAACAATTATTTCCCATTGTTCAATATTTAAGAAGATTATTAACTAATCAAATCGTGAAGGGTCAGAATTGGGTATCAACAGGCATCATCACTATAACATATATCGAGGCTACTTCAACAAAAAGCCTAAATAAATAAGACTTTCTAATATTCTCCTTCTACTATTCTTAATTTAACCATTAAGAATTCGAGATCGTCAATAATTTTATGACAAAAAGAACAAAGATTATGAAATGAAATGACAACTGAACTCATATAACCACCTAACAAAAAGACTACCGATACAAGATTCTAAATTGTCTTAACATGATATGACAATAAAGTAATAAAATTATTGTTTTAGGCATATCATCTACTTAGTGTTACCCCGTTATCTGAATTTAGTTGTAGCAGATTGATTTACATATATTCACACATAAAACTAAAAAAAATAAAAAATTAATTTTAGATATTTAAATCAGTCGACTTTAACATAAAAAAAATCAACTATCTTCTTTTTACCCCTTTGGTCACTGCATTTCACAAACTCAATCAAAGATCAAAACATTAAAAATCATCCCCATATCTATATATAACTCTTAATGAAATGATTTAAATACCGAAAAGGGTAAAAGAAAAAATTGGATGAAAATCAAAACAATTAACCAACATGTATATGACTGAAAAATGCATCAACAATTGGAGAAAAAGCTCCGAAAGTTATAATGATAATTAACCTTACACACCTTGTCTAAAAATTGCTCCTTCTGATTACTTCCTCGCCCCCTCTAATTTTGAGTATATTTGAACGAGAAAGATTTTGATAATCGACAAAATAGGGGAATAGATGAAAGGAATCGGTTGGTCCAACATGTACCATTCAGACCGAATTCGAGTGGGATAAGGAGAAAATCAACCACTGAATTAGATGTTATAAAGTTCTGGAAGTATTATTTTTTTGGACAATAAACTACAACAGAAAGTTTCCTTTTATAAAGGAGTACGAAGACTACACAGTTTTCATAATCAAATAGGATAACTAGACAAACAAGGAAGTTGTAGTAAACAAGGAGACAAGAGCCTGAAAGAAGTAGAAAAGTAGAAACTTGCCACGTGAACTTAAAAAATCAATGTAGAAAAGGAAGTCGAAACCAAGTAGAAGAAGGAGTTAGTAATTTATAAAGTTTTCTTACTCTGTTAAGGTAAACTGCGTCAATAATTTTGATTTCAAAGCAGAATGCAAGAAGGAGTCCTAACGTGAGAAGGAGTTCGAGTCAAGTTCGATTTAAAGAAGGTTTTTTAAAGCGACAAAACTAAGTTGTGTTGAATAATACTTAGGAGAGTTTTAAATAGTTAATGGAAGAATTTTACTCACTTACATAGAGAGAAAATCAAAACATGATCAAGAGTTTTAGATTTATTAGGGAGTGTTGCGAGTTTGTAAGGAAATAGTTGTAATATTCTAATTAGGAGTTTTGATTACAATCAAGTGTGTCTGTAGGATTCGTCTAAGAAGTTTGAGAAACTTGACGGACGGTAGAAGACTTAAACCTGGGTTGTTTTGTCTTGGATAGCTAAGAATTACAGTTTCAAATTCCTTAGATTACATAGGTTTGTGATGTTTTTTTGAGAATCATAGTTTAATGAAGTGGAGTTAAATCCTATAGAGGTATAGGTCATGGTTTTTACCCATTATGAGTTGGGGTTTTCTATGATAAAGTATTATGTCATTATTTTATCTGCTTTACAGTACTTAACTGATGTAATCTGCAAAGAAACTTATAAGATATACTTGTTCCTTAGGAATACTTGGGGTCAGAATTCTGATAGAGTGAAGATTATTGGGCCATGGAAAAATGAGAATGTAGAAATGGAAAGACCTAGAGAAGAGTAGAAAGGAAAAAAGTAGTCAAGGATAGGTAATGTAGTCGAGGACATGTGATTTATCGAAAAATAAGAAATAGTGTACACATGAAAGACATAGAAGAGACTAGAAAGAAAAAAAGTAGTCGGTGATAGGTTATTTAGTCGAGGACAAGTTATTTTTAGAAAAACAAGAAATGCACATGTGGTGCATTATTATAAAAAAGTATTTTTTACTTGCAGCAAAACTTTATTAAAAAAAGATTTTTATTTCTTTTATATGATCTATATGTAAGTAGGAAATTTCTAATATTATTTATTTACATATTTAAAACAAAACAAGAAAAGTATTAAAAATAAATATAAATTATGACCAGAGAGTTAGATAAGGTGAAATAGATTTTTATTTTATTTTACTAATGTCACGACCCAAATCGAGCCGCGACTGGCACCCACATTTATCCTCCTATGTGAGCGAACCAACAAATCTAACCCCAATCATTTACCCATAATAAAAAGAAAATAATGCGGAAGACTTAAAAACTCATTAACAAAATCAATAATAAACTTCTATAACTCAAAACTCATCATTATTATCCCCAAAATCTGGAAGTCATCACCACAAGAACATTTATCCTCAAATTACTAAGACTAAGAGTATCTAAGAAACTAAACAAAAATAAAGAGCTAGTCCATGCCGGAACTTCAATGAATCAAGACATGAAGGAGAAGATCCAGTCCAAGCTAGAAGCATTAGCTCACCCTGAAATCCGGTGTAATGAGGACTGCTAGAGTTGCGGTTGAGTTGAACTTGATGGCACGTTTGCTGCACTCCACAAATAACAAAGAAAGAAACACACAAGTAAGGGTCAGTACAAAACACGGGTACTGAGTAGATATCATCGGCCAACTCAAAATAGAGAACAGTATATACCAGATCATATCATTTGGGAAATAGGTTCTTTTCATTCGAATTTATTAAAATAATTTCAAGATTCATTATCTTTATTCCTCTTGTGTCGGCACGTGAACATTCCAATCCCCTAATACTATGTGACGGAATGTGACACTCCGATCCCCTAATTCTACGTGTCGGTTCGTGACACCCGATCCCCTAATTCTACGTGTCGGTTCGTGACACCCGATCCCCTAATTATACGTGTCGGTTCGTGACACCCGATCCCCTAATTCTACGTGTCGGTTCATGACACCCGATCCCACAATTCTGCGTTTCGATTCGTGACACCCGATCAACTAATTCTACGTGTCGGTTCGTGACACCCGCTCCACTAATCTCATTCTGTTAATTCATCAAGCCTTCTTTCATACTAAGGCATCATCAATCTCATTACTTTAGTTCAGCAAGCCTTCTTTCATACTAAGGCATCATCATTCACAAAGTAGATTAGGATTTCTCCAGATTTTCAATTCAATAGCTTCATCATGCTTATTTTATCACAATTATATAATCACATTCATGCAAGCATACAATTAAGCATATAGAAGGGTTTACAATACTACCCATACATATCATTCGCTATTAAGAGTTTACTACGAATAGCATGAAAACTATAACCTACCTCCACCAATGAATTGTGATCAAGCAAGCTAATCCTCAAGATCTTGGCTTTCCTCTTTGTTTCTCTCTCTCTCGATCGTTTCTCCCTCTCTTACTGTTCATTTCTTTTTCTTATTCAATCCCTCTTTCTTTTACCCTAATTAGCATATAATTAAGTATAAAAGATGGTGAATTAACCCATTAATTAATTCAAGGTTATCTCTTTTAACCCTCAAGTAGTTAAATTATAAACATTAACCCACTAAATTTATAATTATAGCAGGAATAGTCCAAAACGTCCCTTAAAACATTTAAAGAAATCCGACCCCGCCTGGGATTACGCAGCCTGTGACGGGCCGTCGTGCCTGCGATGGTCCGTCCTGCTGCTCTGTCACAGAGTTCAGAGACTCACTTCCATTAAAGGGACTGTGACGGTCCGTCGTGCCCATGACGGTCCATCCTACCATTCCGCTACGAAGTTCAGAGAGTCGATTTCAGTACCCAAATTTCAGAATTCTAAGTGTTTTGGAACAAGACCCCCACGACGGTCCATCGTGACTATGACGATTCGTCGTGGGTTCCGTTGTCTCATCCTATTTTTCCATAAAAAAAATGTGCTACTCAAAACGACTAAACAGGTCGTTACAATAGATACCAATTTACCCATCGTTGGTCCCCGAACGATCACAAGAGGAAAAACAAGGGCGAAAAGGAGTACCTGAATCTGTAAACAGGTGTGGGTATCTGTCTTGCATGTAAGCCTCTATCTCCCAAGTGGCTTCTTCAACGGGTCGATTCTTCCATTGAACTTTGATGGATGCAATCTCCCTTGACCTCAACTTGCGAACTTCTCTATCTAAAATAGCAACAGGCTTCTCCTCATAAGACAAATTTTCATCAAGCAGAACTGAATCCCAATGAATGATGTAGTTTCCATCCCCATGGTATCTTTTCACCATAGACACATGAAATACCGGATGTACTCCGGATAGCCCTGGAGGCAAGGCTAACTCATAAGACACCTCCCCTACGCGCTTCAGAACTTCAAATGGACCAATATACCTTGGGCTAAGTTTACCTCGCTTAGCAAACTGCACTACCCCTTTCATGGGCAAAACCTTCAGCAAGACTTACTCACCCTCCATGAAATCCAAGT